TTGAGTCGCTGCAAACCAGATGCAAAGAAAAGGGGCTTAGGGCTCAGGGTTTAGGGGTTTAGGGCTTAGGGTTTAGGGGTTTAGGGTTTGGAGCTTGGTTAATGGGGTCTGGAGGTTTTCGGTTGTTCAAAATTCAAAGGAAGATGGTTTTGGGTTTAGGGGTTTAGGGTTCAGGTCTGTGGGGGCGGGGATTGAAGCTCCAAAACTTAAGAAGTGTTCGCTCTTCTTTGCATGTGGTAGGTCAGGGTGTAGAGGTGGTGGCAGCAGAGCCGGTCATAAACAATGAAGCCCTAAATACCCCCAAGGGTTGGCTTACCTGGACCCTGAAGAACCTTCCTTTTTTTTGATGGTTCCTTATTATGATTGCCTTCTACAGGTCCTTAATAGAAGGTAGGTTATTTAGGGTCCAGCTAGGGTTTAGGGATTTCGGTGAAGGGCCGAGCTGGCCCAAGGCGGTTTGCCAGAAGCTTAGACTGGGAGCTGCGATGCGAGGAACAGGACAGAAAAATCCTAAAACCGAGGTTTAGGGGTTTAGGGTTTAGGGCACCCCCCGTCACCCCCCAATTCCAGGGTTCAGGGTTTGGGGTACTTAAACCCTAAACCCTACACAGCAACCCCTGATCCAAAGCTGGAAGCATACTGTAAGCTTGAAGCTGAGCCCTTCGCAGGTTCGTTTGTGCCGGTGCTTGGGCCCATGGCTGCCGCAGTTCCGTCATAAAAACATCATACGGTTACTTTGTCGCCACCATCTACCATACTTTCTCCATTGGTGTGAGGTATGGTCGCAGAGAATTGCCCTGAAAGCTCAGTCCTTTCAGCCTCGGAGAGCTCAGAGTCCGTAGATACTTCCACGGGCAGCAGTCGCCTTTGTTCCATGGGCATGTGTTGACAGTGACCCACAGCAGCTTGGCTTGAGCAGCTTGGTTTGCTTCTTCCGGAGTTCTGGCAGTTGAAGCTGTTCTTGATCCTTTCAACCTTCACGGTTTCACTCCTGTTTCTCGAAGCTCTTTGTTTCCAGAGTCGAGGTCATGAGCTCCTTGCTGTGGCTACTGGCCCTTCTTCCCAAGAGCCTTGGGGCATCCACCTGTAGCTCTGGGGCTGAATTCCCCAGCTCCAGTGAGGAGAAAACAACATGTGTCTGCCGAGAGCTCAGTCGCAGGGCTTGGGGTTAAGGAGCTTTCGGGCTCATGGTTTTTGCTGTTGCTGCATAGGTCGTCTGGAGGGCTAGAGAAGGGAGGTGCTACACTTGCAGCAAGTCTGCCCTGTTTTGATTGAGGTGACCGGCCGTCCAAAGATGACGAGTCGGTGGCTGCAAAACCCAGCTGCCTCTTGAATTCGGATGAGTCGCGTGTGGCGCCCTTCTTCTTGTCCCTTGGCCACTACCGGGTCCCCTCGTGCATTCAACTTTCACGAAGGGAGCAGCCGCATGCATGTAGCTTCCTTCTGGAGCGCAGATGTAGACAGACGGAAATCCTGCGATGTCAGCACGCACTGTTGCCCTAGCCGTGATTCAAGCGATATCAGGGCCGTGACATGCGCCCACCGAGGGAAGAAGGCTCTCCGAAGCCAACTCCCTTGAGCGTGATGGAGGATGCTTGTGTTGACAGGGGTTAGGTTCAGTGTTCAGGGTTGATAATTAGGAAAAACTACATAGGTTGCTCAATTGCTCAAGAGCATGCAGCATTTCCAAATTCTTTCAGTACACATAGCTGCAGCAGAATTCCTGGCGACGGCTGCCGGCCCTCCATAAACCTCTGAATCTTGATCTCCATGAACTGAGACCCTTGATGAACCTGCTTGCTGCAGTTTGATTTCTGGAGGATGTGCAATTCTTCACGAACCTGGCACCAACTGTCACATCTGGCTGCCCAGTGGGATGGTCTCCCATTTTCCCTTTCCCAAAGTGGCTGCCTCGCAGCGGCCAATACCGACGCATGGCACCAAGGGTTCAAGGTTCAAGTTTCAGGGCTAGGGCTAGGGATCTGTTTTCGATCCTGTTTGAGGAGTACCGATGCAGGTAAGTGTCATGGTCCACATTCCCCTTAAGACTGTAGCCCACTACAATCAAGGATTCATCCGTTAAACAGCAAAAGATGTTTTGAGCCCTTTCCTTACGTAAACCCTGGAAAGCGCCTGTCGCATGGCGAGTGCGCCTCGCAGCGACCCAAGGGATCAGCCCACAACATGGGACCGCTAATCAAGTCGAGACATCGATGGGGGGTAGAGCAAGTTTAGGGTTTAGGATTTAGGCGTTTAGGGTTTAGGGGTTTAGGGTTTTGGGGGGGTAGAGCAATTGTGATAAAGCTGAGGGGTATGCCTCCCGAAGAAGTCTCCTCCCGAAAGGAGCCAATAGCTTCCAAAAGACCTTGATGAAGGATTTTTTCCTTAAATCCCTGTCAGGTTTCTTAACCCGGGATCCCTATGTCAGGCATTTGGGAACCCTACATCCTAAACCCTATAAGGCCCGAAACCCCAATTCCTAATACTTAGCCCAGGATCCTAAACCCTAACCCCAATTCCCAAAAAACTTAGCCCAGGCTACCAAGCGCTCCCGGGGACTCTCCCCGAGAAGCTCCAGTACTTCGAAGCGTGCTTCCAGGTCCTGCAGTTTGTGAAATCTAAGGATCTATGGGGTTTAGGGCTTATGGGGTTTAGGGTTGAGGGTTTAGGGTATAGGGTCATGGTGGGGCTACGGCTCAAGTCATTTTGGCTCAAGCATATGGTTACGAGACTCAAATGAGTGCTCCAATTAGGATCTTTCGCATGCCCTCGCTGAAATGATTCCAGACACGAGCCGCAAACTATCCTCATGCATTGCCTACGCGAGGAGGCTTTCCAAGCGTGAGGGGTATGAGTGCGTGTCCGCTTCTCTTCAGCAAGCTCTGCTTACACTGATTGCTGATGTCAAGACGAGGCTTGGACCAGGTGAAATGAATGAAGATGGGAACAAGAGACGTAAAATATGCTTGGTTCAAGAACTTGGCCTTGAACTGGAGTCTGTTGACCAGGCTGTAGGTGACTCCTTCTCTACACGACTTGGTGCGGTGTCCACCCAAGATGGCATCGCTCAAACGGATGTTGATATCATAACCAGACCTGTGTGTGAGCGCCTGATGGCGGAGATGGCGCGAAGCTGTGAATCCAAGCTACTGCAAATGGGACAGTTGCTGCAGATTGAAAAGGCCCTTGTTCTGGAGCTTCGTGAACAGGTCCTTACCTTGGCTGTTTCAAACGAGACCGCTGCAAAGGATGCAGTGCCTCTGCTCTCGCGCAGACCACATGCGTCTTCGTGTTCAGGTCTTGTGGATACGGCCGATTCTGCTGCTCAGTTCGGGGATGGTATGGATACAGTGCTTCTGCTCTCACGCAAGACACATGCTGCTTCATGTTCCAGTTCAGGTCTTGTGGATGTGGCCGTTTCTGCTGCTCAGTTTGGGGATGGTGTGCACGAGCCACTGCAAGATGTTCTATCCCTGTCGGAGATCAAACAGGAGCACGCGCGGAAAAGGATAGAGGCCAAGGCAAGGAGAAGGCAGGAACGTCATGAACGCTTGGTGCAAAATTCGAGCGGGTAGCACGGGAAGCTTGCTCCCACGCCTCGGAGCATGTTTTTGCCGTCTTCTGATTGCGTGGGGACATTTTCGGGCCTCTGCTGAAGAACGGCAGATGAGGCAATGCTGGCAGTCATCAAGTCCGGTTTCAAAAAAAGGTCATGGTGGGTCTTGGGTTGCCGGGTTTCAGGCTTTAAGGCCTCAGGGTTTAGGGGTGGGTGACTCAGAACCCCGGCACTTTGGGGTGTGGTGATCTGGGTTGCATGTGCACGTGTGTTTCGGAGAATATGCCGGAGTTTCTGGAACTTGCAAGCCAATTATGCGGAGAGCTGTGATCGCCGCATGGCATGGCCAAGTTGTGAGCGACCGCACTTATGGTGAGGATAGGGTTCTGGAGTCGAGTAGTTGTAGAACAGAATAGGGCCCAACGTGGACCGGTATATCAGTGTAGCATCAACAGTAGTCAATCTAACGCGGGGTTAGCAAGAGTCATGATGACGAAAAGCCAAAGTCAGAACTATGATACCAGCCATGGTTGTAAATGTGAAGGCAGACAGTGCCTGTGCATAGGGTCTCCTATACGATGTCGGGTTTCGTAGTCAGGTTTCATGGCAGTACACACCAGAAGTGGGCCCCGAGATTAAACCCTCAACGTAATTCTGGCCTTACACAGTACCTTCAAAGAACCCAAAGAAACAGCCAGCTCTGGAGTGTGCACCTGTAAGGCGCGGAAGTAGGAAAGGAGCATCAGGGGTTTAGGGGTTCGAGTTTCGGGAAGCTCATGGACAGGCTTGCCATGGTGGTGAAAATCGAATCCGTCTGATTAGATTGCGGTGAGCACTGAGTCGGAACCATGACGGAGCGAAGCGAGTCCGATGCGAGACCCCAGCATCGCAGGCACGGAGGCGGCGCTGGTAAAGGTGTTGAGATGACCCAGGTCGACGCATCGGTTTGTGGTCGAGCCATTCGAGCAGCTAAGTGTTTCGCCCTTGAAAGGCTAAGTAAGTAGCAAGCTTTCTTCCTAGCGCAACCGGAAGGACGAAAGCAGGCCGAGGCGTGGAAGCATCGCACTTGCCACTCACAGCCGTGCCCTTAACCTCTCGAGCCCTCGAACCTGTGTGAAAAAGTCCGAAACCTCAAAGCATACAGCTCCCGGAGTGACTCCTCCCTTCTTCAGGTTCGGAGCTGCCCGCAAGGGTACTTCTGCGAGGGTACTAACGCACCGCCGAAGGCCGGAAATTCCTCCAATCCAAAGTCTTTGTGCTGAATTAGCCAGGACCCTCCAAGTACCCTCAAATAGGGGTTTTTGGTCCCAAATTAAAGGTATTTAGGGTCTAATAGAGGGTAGATGGAGGGTCTAGGAGAGCTCCCTTCAGGGTTCCCTTAAGGGCTACTTAAGGGTTGCTTCTTTCGGAGGGCCTTGATTCACATCAAGTAGCACAGCCGGCAAGCGGTGTACAAGTTTGACGCACAGTCAGGCTAAACGAGAAGGCTTGAAATCCCAAAGTCTGCATCAGCCACCCCTACCCGGTGGTGGAAGCAACGGCCGGTGACACCGCCAAGGTTTCGACCGAAATAGGGGTACGGGCTACCAGTTCTACTCGAAGAAAAGCAATGATTTCCTCGAGACAGACACAACGAGCCAATGTCCACTCACTATCCGTCATCGTGATGGTCGCCGCCGTCGTAGTCGTAATAATAATAGTAGTAGTAGT